CACGTGGCGAGATGTCACAGAAAAGCCACACTAACGTCTCCTAAGTAGCCCCCCCACCCCCACCCCAGCAGAAGGCAGGAGCGATCATACAGAACAGAACAGACAGCTACCGGGGTGTGGGAGGGCTGGCAATAATTCCTTCAGGAGCCAGGTTTCCTCACAAGCACCAAAATCACCTTCATAATGTGTGTGTGTGTGTGTGTGGTGTGTGTGTGGTGTGTGTGTATGTGTGTGTGTGTGTGTGTGTGGTGTGTGTGTGGTATGTGTGTATGTGTGTGTGTGTGCGTGTTTTCTTGTTTTGCTGGAACCTGGACATATGCAATGGATTAGTTGGTAGTTGGAAATGTCATAAAGGATCAAAAAATAAGCAGAGGCACCCCAAGGGGAGAGGAAAGAACAAACAGTCCAGTGTGTGTGTGGGGGGGGGGGGGGGTCAGAGCCAACCCCTGCCTGTCCCAGCGGCTGGCCCCCAGTGGACCGTGCGAGGCCGGAGGGCAAACCTGCCCACGGCCGGGCGTGGCGGCCAGTCCAGGAGCCGAGGAGCTCGCCATGGAGGGACCCGGGAACACTGAGCAAAGTGGACATATTCCTTGAAATGGGATCCAGCGTGAGTGGCTCTAAAGCGTTTACCACTTAAAAACCTTTTAGCTGGGCCCGGCTTGAAGGATGACAACACGATTTTAAATTACACTTTCTAATTCCTCGCGCCCACCCACCCCTCCCCACCCCGCCAGTGGCTGCCGCTTCATTTTCCAATTATGCACTTTTATTTCAGAATGATGGAGAGCGCTACTCACTGGATCATGTCCTGTCTGCCTCACGTAGCTGCTCACTATGCCTCCGTACGGGGCGGCGGTCCCTGCTCCCCGCAGGCCGGTCCGCACATCCCAGATGCCCTCTGCGCCCAGGGCCCCGACCAGGCCGGAGCCGCCGGAACCCGGAGCCGGGCTGAGACGTATGTTTGTACGCCGCGCTCCGCTCCGTGGATTATTATAATTCCGGTGCCTTCTCTCTCCGCCCCGCAGATCAGCAATCACATCAATAATAGCAGGTGCACTGATTTTTCTTCTGCAAAGTGCCATGTCCCAGTTTCGGAAATAAAGCGCTTGGAGGTCCACGTCGCTGTGGAGTCCGCACGGGAGGCCGCTCGGACCCGCTTCAGACGCGCCCGCGCACAAAAGGACCCGAGGCCCAGGTGTGGCCATCGGCCTTCCGCCCCCGCCCCCAAGGGGCCCAGCACCCTCGCCAGAACCGGGGCTGGGCCACACAGGGTTGGGGGACCGGGGGGTGAGGGTAGAAAGCAGGGGAGTCTTGGCTGCTCGGCATTCAAATACAATCTGCAAAGCGCGTGAGCGTGGATTTACAGTTCTCACGGAAATCCATTAAACAGATGTCACCGAGCATAATCAAACGGCAGCACGGTGCTTCTGCGCGCACGTCTGCGGCTGGGGTGCTGCCATCTTTATGATCAATTTAAGTGTGTTTTTTTGTGGTCGTGTGGGAATTCGCAATTAAAGATTAAACCTCCAAAGTATGATCAATTAACGAATGACAATAACAATCTGAGTGACAACGGTATAAAAGCAGAACTCCATTTGCCATCCCCCGGCCGCCCGCGGCTTTGGGCAGGGGCCCGCTGCTGCTCCCCAAATGCGGCCCTGTTCTCGCTGTGAGGGGGGAGGCAGGGCTCGGGCAGGGAGCTGCCGCCCAGGTAGCGGGTGCAATGTATTCTGCAGCCTCGCAGGCCTCAGTCCTCCTGGCAAATGCAAACGCCTGTTAGGAAGGCGGACGGATGGGCGCGTTGGAAACCGAAAGCAGGCACCGTTTCCTTCGTAAAGGGACAAAATTAGCGCGGGCGGGCGATGCCAGCCAAGGTCTCCCCGTGGCATCCGGCTGGGCTCCGCCCTCCGTGGAAAGGGGATGGCGGGGTGGCGAGGGCGGCAGGCAGGCCCTCCCAGCGTGAGCCTGGCCGGGAGACGGGGCCTCCTGAGCCCTGTGCCATCCACCGGAGGGGACTCTCCCGGAGCTGCGTCTGCGGATGCCGGTGACCGGCTCTGGCACGGAGCTGGCCCCGACCCCGGCCGAGAGGCCCTCACAGCGTCCTTCGCCGACAGCCGGTCCCTGGCTGAGCTCAGAATTAACACACAGGTCCCAATGGAAGGGTTTTTCTTCTCATGAGATTGGCCAGAGATATTTTAAATGGAGTAAAGCATAACTAAGTCTTGGCTCGTTTGAGGGGGGAAAAATCAAAATAAGGTAAACCGTTGGGGCAGCAGAATGGCCAGGTCGCCGGGGAGCTCCGCCGGGAATCAGGTTCACCGAGAAGTGGTATTCCTACCTCCCTCCGAGCCCCCGGAACCCGAGCCGTCCCCAGGCGCCTCTCTTCCCCCTCTCCTGGGGGCTGCTCTTGCTCCTTCTTTTTCTTTTTTCTGTTTGTTTTTTCAGTTCTTCAGACCCAAGGCAGACAGCTCAGTGGCCGTCTGGAGAGGACGCCAGCTGGGGGGATGCCTCCTCCGAGGGCCTTCCACCCCCCTCGCCCCCGGACCCCGTGGCTGCAGGGCACTGCCCTCAGGGTCCCCCAGCACCATCCAAACCCGGGGACGTGGCTGCATGAAGCTCTCCCTTCACCCTGCTCCTCCCCAGTGCCCCTCGCCTTATCCTAGGGGCCGGGCTCTGGACGGAAGGAAGACCCCACCGGCAGCCTGCCCCTCACCCGCGACGCCAGAGCGGGCGTCTGCGGGCACAGAGAGGGCCCAGCACCCATCCCTCGGCCCCTGAGCCTGAGGCGCCCCTTCCCGGGGTCCCTCCCTCCGAGGGGCAGGCAGACAAAGGTACCGGCGCCACAGAGATCTCAGGGAGGAGAATGGGGAGGAGGGGAGGCTTGGAAGAACCCTTTTCTGCTGCCAGGAGGGAGGGGGTGGGAGAGGCCTGTCACGCTGTCACATGAAGGACGTAGACAGACAATTCGGGGAGGAGGCTCCCACCCTCGGCGGCAGCTCCCGAGGCGCAGACGAACCTCCGCCGATGGCACGTTTGTCTGTGCTCGGTGTTTCCTTGTTAGCAGCCTCTGCCCGGCCAGCTCAGGCCCCGGCCCCTGGGAGCCACGGGCAGTGCCAGGCCTGGAGCTGGAAACATGGAGTCATCTCCGTAGACTAACAGGCGCCCTCTCTCAGGGGAGTGTCTTCTCTTTTCTCAGAGTCGGGAACCCACCCCCCGAAGGCTGCTTTTTCTCCTCGGGGCTACCCTCCCGTGAAGCCCTGCCGCTCCCGTGGTCCTCCGCCGAGGGCGGGGCGTCCTGGCGGGTGCCCACCACCGCCTGCGGGGAGGCGGCGAGGCCAGGGGAGCCGGGGACTCCCGTGACTTTGGTCGGGTGGACTGGGCCCTGTGTCACCGGCAGGCTCTCCTCGGACTGTCATTCTGTACGTGGTCTCTGCAGTCCTGACATGGGGGCTCATGGGGATCTTCCACTAAACTTAGATCCGGTCTCTCTGCCCACAGTCCCAGCCCAGAGACACGGGCGGGGCGTGTGAGATCCGGGGTCCCACGTGTGGGTGACCCTCGGAGCCTGCCCCCCCCCCCGACATAAACAGGAAAGCAGCCCCCCCCCCCCCTGAAGACTTCACACACAGTTAACCCTGTGGCTGCCAGCAGCCAGGCCTGTCCCAGTGAGCGCTCCGACAGACGCAGTGTCTCCCAGAAACCGTCGTGAGGAGAGGCCCTCAGTGCGGGGCTGCCTCTCGGAAAGCCGGACGCAGGGAGCCGGGCAGCTTATTATGGGGGCTCACACCAGGTCCCCCGGTCACCGCCGGCCCCCAGAATGCCTCTCTCCGATCGCCACCGGCTGGCTCGGCCACCAAACCCGCCTGGCCCCAGCCACGCCGCCACCCTCCCCGAATGGTCTCCTCACGTGTGGGCGCCGGGAACCAAGGCCTGGCTCCCAACGTGGCCGTGGCCGTGGCCGTGGCCGCCACACGATGGCCACTCTGACTCTTCCAACGCCCTGTAGCCCACGTGCAAGTTCCTGGGAAAGTTGGCTTAATTTTTCTTTATGGCAAAGAGCAATGGGGGTGCCTGCCGTGGCCGTGCCTCCTGAGCCCCCGCTGGGCTGAGCCCTGTGACACGCCCCCGGCCCCATTCACCACCGCAGCGCCGGCTCGGCATTCACGCCGGCCCACTTTTGTTCCCAGTCTTATTTCATAATCGTCCTCCACTTAGCAGCTCTGCTCGGGCCTTAGAAACGGAGGAGGAGGCAGCCAGCTCCCCGAGGGGCACCCAGAGGGGTCTGACCCAGCACGGGGGAGGGCATCCCCCAGAGGCCAGCAGGGCAGGCCTGGGGGCCCGATCCAGGCGGGGGGCCTCCTGGTGCCATCTCAGGCCACCCAGCAGCTGGGAGGGGAGCGGGACGGGAGCCTGCGAGCCCGCCGGCCTGGCACGGAAGCCGGGCACCTCAGCGGGTCTCCTCCAGGGAGGGGAGATGGGCATGCGTTCACTCTCCTGTAGCGAGTCCCGGACAAACAGGCTGCTCCGCGCAGGGCAGCGGGAATGTGCCTGGGAGTCCGGGACCTGCTGGCTAGCCTCTGGTCCCCGGCCAGGCACACAGCAGACAGCGGTACATGTGTGGAACCAGTGACTTGATAGATGGACGAGGGATGGAGGGAGGGATGGAGGGATGGATGGACAGACAGACAGTGGAGAGAGGAAGAGAGGGAGTTTCCGGCAACGGCTCTCAAAAGTGACCACCGAGCGGCATGGGAGCCCCCGCCCTGGCCGCGCTGCACACAGTAGGCTCTCTCTCCCAGGCCGGGCTGCCATTGTTACCCCGGCGGCACCACCTGCCCCGCAGCCGCTTGGGCAGTGCGTGGGCAGCGCCGGCGCCGGAAAGTTTGCTGACCCCGCGGCCCCAGCGAGTCCGGCGCCGGCCGCGCGCCCCTGGCGGCTCCGCCGGGCGGGCACCGGGCACCGCGGCCGGAGTAACTTTGGGCGCCCCGCGCCCCCCGCCCCCGCCCCCGCCGCGGCCTCGCCCCGCGCCGGAGGGCCCCCGCCCCGCCCGCCCGCCCGCCCGCCCTACCTGCCGCTCCGGTCGGCGGCCCGGCCGGGCCGAGCAGCGCGGAGGGAGCGGCCCGGCTCCGGGAGGCGCCGGGAGGCAGCGGGAGGGCCGGGGCTGCTCTGCGCCGGCGGCCGCCTCGCCGCGCGTCCGAGGCAGCAAGTGGGAGCCAGACTCCTCCTTCGGGGGGCGGGGGGCTCCCCGCGGCCCCCTCCCGCCCGCCCGCCCGCCCGCCGCGCGCTCCGAGCCTCCCCGCTCCCGCTCCCGCCTCCCGCTCCCCGCCCGCCGCCGCCGCCGCGGGGAGGGCCGCCCGCGCCCCGCGCCCCGAGCCCGGGTCCCCGCCCCGCAGGCCCGGCCTCGGCCCTCGGCCCCGCCCAGGCCCGGCGCCCGCATCCGCCGCCCGGACCGGACCGGACCGGGAGCCCGGGCGCCGCGGGGCCGGAGGCGGAGCGGGCGGAGCGGGCCGCGCGGAGGGAGAGGGTCGCGGGCCCCGCAGCTCCGGCCACGCTGCCCGCCCTGCCCTGCCCGGCGCGGGGCGGGGGCGCGGGGGACACACGGGGGCGGGCGGGGCGCTCTCACCTCCGATCCGGGCGGCGGGCTCCGTGCCCGGGCGTGCGCGGCCCTCCCTGGGCGCCGCGGCCCCCGCCCCGCCCGGACCCCCTCCCGGAGCCAGGAGGGCACCGTGCTCAGGGCCCCTCCTGCCGCTTTTGGGGAGACGTGGACCCCCCTCCCAGGCAGCACAGGCCGCGCCCCTCTGAGCCCCTCGCTCTTACCCCCGGGGACCCCAAGCTCCCCATTGCGGGTGCAGCAGCGGCCGCCAACCCCAGGGGGGCAGGTAAGCGGCTGGACCTGAGAGCCTGGCGCCTGGCCTATTGGGGAGGGCAAGAGCAGCACCCGTCAGGGTGTCCCAGCCGGTGACCTCTGACCCCTGCCCCAGCGGGCAGAGGTGTCCGCAGGGCCTTGTCTCAGGGCACAGGTCCAGGCCACCAGGCCGAGTGGGAGGTGAGGAGGGTGTGGCCCCGCCGAGCCCTTGGAAGGCCCCTGCATAGATGTCTGTGCGCCCCTCCCCCAGCACTCCCACTGCCCCCCCTCCTGCGTCCATCTCAGCCTCACACGGTCCCAGGTGCACACCGGGCCGCTGCTCCGGCCTGGCCTGCCTTGGGGAGAGGCCCGGCTGGTAGGAGGCAGACAGGGACACAGGAAGTGCCCTGCAGGCACAGCGTGGAGGTGGCACAGTGTGGAGGTGGCACAGCTAGCTGGGTGGCTTCTGGAGGCGGACTCTCCGCAGCATGCCGAGGAGAGAAGGTAGGCGAAGTCCTTGCGGGCAGAGGGAACAGGCCGTGCAAAGACCTCGGCATTTGGGAGGGGCTAGAGGGAGAGGAAGGGGGGTGGAGGGAGAGAGGGGTACAAGGAGATGCCCCTGGGCACCTGCTTAAGGGACACACGTGGTCATGGGGAGCCACGGGAGGTGTTTGAGCCGGGCATGAGCTGGTCCGTTTTATTTATTTATTTTTTAGCGTTGGCTCTGGTGGCCCTGAGAGGGGGAGGGCAAGCAGGCGGGAGAGGGGAGGCTGTGGGGGTGGAGTGGGGGTAGAGGCCTGGGCTGGGCGCCAAGGCCGGAGAGGAAGCCAGAGGCTGGCCAGGGGCCTCGGGAGGGACCCCCTCCTCTTCCGTGTGTTGGGGCCTCACTTCTCTCACCCTGTTCTGGGGTGACTGTGGAAACACAAGCTCGGGGCAAGAGGGAAGGCGCCTGAGTGGGGGGCGTCTGCCTGGCGTGAGGGTCAGAGCCCCAGGGCAGGCAACCCCCGTCCCAGGCAGAGAGGGGGTGGGAACTGAGGAGAGTCCCCCCACCCCTCCCCGGGAGACACGCGGGCCTGGGGCAGGGGGTCAGCTCCACGGCTCAGGCTACATGTCCTGGCACCTCTGCCATCCCGGCCACCCTGTGTGCCTGGCCTGTGCTGGGCGGCCAGGGGTGCAGGGGCACCCAGGTACAGCCCCTGCCACCCAGCCAGGGCCAGGGCACGGCCAAAGGGGAGACAGTCAGAGGCCGCCGGAGGGATGGGCAGGGGCTCCAGGAAGGCCGCAGAGCACCGGCTGGAGGAGGGCGGACATGGGCAGGGAGAGGCCCGACAGGCGTCCCTGGCAGCAGGCGCCCAGGAGGAGCACCAGGACAGCAGGGGCGCCAGAGGCCCTGGAGCTCAAGGCCGGTCACCCGGGCCCTGGGGTGCCACCCTCAGCAGGCCCGGGCTCCGGAGGACAGTGAGCAAGATGCTCTGCGGAGTCCTGGCCCAGAGCCAGACAAGGCCGGTGTCTGTCGAGAGAGTGAGGGAAGGAAGGAAGGGAGGGAGGGAGGGAGGGAGGGAGGGAGGGAGGGAGGGAGGGGGGAGGGAGGGAGGGAGGGGGGGAGGGGGGGAGGGAGGGAGGAAGGAAAGAAGGAAGGAAGGAAGGTGGGATGGAGGGATGGAGGGAGGGAGGGAGGAAGGAAGGAGGGAGGGAGGAAGGGAGGGAGGGAGGGAGGGAGGGAGGGAGGGAGGAAGGAAGGAAGGAAGGTGGAATGGAGGGAGGGAGGGAGGGAGGGAGGGAGGAAGGAAGGAGGGAGGGAGGAAGGGAGGGAAGGAGGGAGGGAGGGAGGGAGGGAGGGAGGGAGGGAGGGGAGGGAGGAAGGAAGGAAGGGGCTGATGAAGGATGATACCCAGCACCCTGAGCACCCCTAGCTCACAGGACCTCCCAGCGCCCCCTCCAGGGCTCCCCCCTCCGTGGACCCAGTGCGTGTCCCAGAGACACAGGCACAGTGTGCGTGTTCGGGGGGCGGGGCTCCCCTTATCAGCCCAGCTGCTGCCCCTGCTGCTGCCCAGGGCAAAGCCACGGCAGCCTCGGCCTCCGGAGCCCCGAGGACATGTGACTGGGGGTAGTGCCATGGTCAGCAAACTGCGGCTCCAGAGCCACATTGTGATTCTTTGGCCCCTTGAGTGTGGCTCTTCCACAAAACGCCATGGCCTGGGCGAGCCTATGTTGAAGAAGTGGCGTTAGAAGAAGGTTAAGTTTAAAAACCTGGCTCTCCAAAGGAATTCCAGTCGTTGTGCTGCTGATATGTGGCTCTGCGGACTGATGAGCTTGCCGACCACTGGGGTGGTGGAGAGCGTGTGGCCCTGGTCCCGGGGTCAGAGCCAGGATCTTGGGACCCTGGCCCCACTTGGCCAGCTTTCTGGCCACCTCCAGTCCCACTGGCCCTCTCCTTAGCTCCCGGAGCACCATCCTGTACTTCCCCGGAACGTGCATCTATGGAGCGCCTGCTGTATGCCTTTGGAGCAGTGCTCCCCACCAAAGGGGCCTGCCCTCCCCTGCACCGCCCGCCCCAGACCACGGGCTCTGAGCTTGACCGGCACCCGCCTGGTCCAGGCTGCTGCTTGGGGGCCGGGCTCCCTCGGGCCCAGCGCTGCCTCAGCCGGGGCCCAGGGAACGCGGAACGCGGGGTGGGCAGGGGAGGCCCACTCCGAAAAGAGCAGCCAGCCTGGCACGCACGCAGACATGCTGCTTTTGGGGAAATGTAATAACACAGTGGCACTTGTTCACGGAGACTAATAGCAGCCCGGAGCCATCCCACACGGCGCACGCAGCCAGGGTGGCCGAGGGAGGGAGGAGAAGGCGGCGGTCTGCCTCAGAGGCGGGAGGAGGCCGAGGGGACAGCCGGGGGCTGGGTCAGGACAGCTGGGCACTGCAGAGTGAGGTGTGTGCTCCGGGAGGATGAGAGGGAGCGGGCAGCCCCGCAGAGGGACCGGCCTGTGCAGACGCTCAGAGGTCAGGGGAGCGTGGACTGACTCCCAGGAAGCGGCCCTTTCTGACAGCCCGGGACAGACACCAGCTGCGCCCGCCAGAGGGGCAGTTTTAGGGCGCCGGTGTGCCAGGACATGCCCAGGGCCAGGCCGGGCTGCTGGGAGGGACTGTGGCGGGAAAGTGATGGCCGCTGCTCATCGCCATCTGAACCAGGGAAGCGGGGACACTGAGCACGTTCGCTCCGCTCTGAGAAATGAGAAGCGAAGAAGGGATGCAGGCGGAAGTGTGCAGGGCCCCGTGGCCGCCCTGAGGATGAGATTACAGGTGATTTCTAGCCTCAGGGGAGCTTTCTTTCCTTCTAAATATATTTTATTGATTTTTTTTTGCAGAGGAAGGGAGAGGGATGGAGAGCCAGAAACATCGATGAGAAAGAAACATTGATCAGCTGCCTCTTGCACACCCCCCACTGGGGATGTGCCCGCAACCACGGTACATGCCCTCGACGGGAATCGAACCTGGGACCTTCCAGTCCATAGGCCGACGCTCTATCCACTGAGCCACACTGGTTTCGGCCTCAGGAGAACCTTTTGTCACCGCCTGCTGACATTTCTGCTTTCTTTGTCCTGGTTAACTCTCACCTGAGGATATTTTCCCCATTGATGCTTGGGGAGAGGGGAACGGAGTGGGAGAGACAGAGAGAGAGAGAAAGAGAGAGGGAGGAACATCAATGGGGGAGAGACACATCTATGGATTGCCTCCTGCACGCACCCTGACCAGGTCTGAGTCTCACCTCCAACCGAGGGATGTGCCCTTGACCAGAATCGAACCCAGGACACCAGTCTAATGGAGGACACTCTAACCACTGAGCCAACCAGACAGGGCACCCAACATTTCTATGATCATCAAAATGTCGTGAAGGGTGGGGGGCATTCGGGGAGGGGTGCGAGCAGAGCGTGAGGAGGGCAGGGGCTGGAGTCATGGGCAGGGCCTGGGCTCTCTCACCCCCTCGGCCGCTCCCCGCGCCTGGCTCAGAGCCGGCCTGCAGAAACGGCTCTCGTTGGCAGATACTCACGGGCTCCACAGCACGCAGGGCTGTGTCAGGCCCAGCACCACAGGAGGCCACAGGATTTCCGGGGTCAGCCAGGCAGGGGCCAGGGGCTCCTGCAGGGGGGTGCCTGGGCTGGGGCTGGAAGGGGGAAGCCTGGCTT